AACCGTCTTCCACCTGTTGCATTCTTCACTCCTTGGAGAGACTGTGACTGGGTAAGATAACTTTTTGTATATATACCTCTTATTTTTCAGGGGTGTGTCCCCTTTTTTAATTTATGGATCCCATTTTGTAGCAAGTGGTGCCAGTCCAGGTATACTTGAACTAGTCAAATCCATATGATGATTTAACAGTTATAATTTTCATGGCCACTAAATGCACACTGTTGAGATGGGGTGTTCCACAATATCTCTCGTAGGTTTTCCTTGCAATATAATAGCTTCATTCATTTGCCTTTTATGGATTGTACTAACCCATTGATTTCAAGGGTAAAGCAGAAGGGGATAACTGCCCATCCAAGCCATTCCTTAGATTGAATAAATCAGGAGTGGTCTGCTTTTCAAGATAGGTTTTCATGGTCTCTATTTGCACTGTCTCTGGTGTTGATGTTCCTCCTGACTCTCCACCACATTTTCTCTCCCCCCTTTTTATTCCACTAGAGTATGGGAGTCATTACTATTAGGTTGTCAAGAAATTAATGTCACTTTTCTTTAGATGAAAAAAAACTTGTATATCAAAACAAAACATTTATCAAATGAAGTAGTCTCCATTCTTATCAATGCTGCTTCTCCATCTTACAATCAGGTTGTTAATGCCCTGATTAAAAAAACACTTGGCTTTGAAGTAAAAAACATGTCAATGTCCTCTTTAACACCTTCCACATTTCCATACGTTTTCTCATTAAGATGGTTTTGCAGCGAACGAAAAAAATGGTAATCTGATGGTGCCATATCTGGAGAATATGGTGGGTACGGGAGAACTTCCCAACCCAACTCCATAGTCTTGTGTTGCGTCAAATGTGCCACATGTGGATGTGCATTGTCGTGGAGAAGAAGAACACCTTTATGATTGACAAGTGAGGGGCATTTCTGATAAAGGGCTTGATTTAAATGTTCCAGCTGCTGATTATAGATATCTGCATTGACAGTTTGCTGTGAATGGAGGAGTTCAAATAAATTGCTCCTTTGATGTCCCACCAAATCCAAAGTATCACTTTCTGTTGATGGAGTCCAGATTTTGGGGTCGGAAGTGTTTTTTTTTTTTGTAGGACTGAGCCATTGTTTTTGACATTTCGTATTCGCATAGAGAATCCATTTTTCATCACGGTGACAATTCTGTCCAAAAATGGTTCACATGCATTACAAGCCAGAAGAGACGAAGCAATGATCACACGTTGGAAAGGATGATCATCAGAGAGTTCTTGAGGCACCCAAACACATTTATGGAGTTTTTCAATATTCCTTAAATGTTTACGTATTGTTTTATGAAAGACATACAATTTCAGGGCCATTTCGCTAGTGTGTGTGCCTTGGGTTAGACTCAACAAGCATCTTCAGTAGTTTTTAAGGCTAAAATTTATTGAACCATCGTTGACACTTACAAATGTTCAAAACATTTCCATAAACTTTTTTGATTTTTTTTGTGGCTACAGAGGCATTGTTTCCCTTCTTGTATTCAAACAACATTAGATGCCAAATGTGTGTCTTGTCATGTGTCGTCACTATAAGGGATTAGAGTAAACTATATATTACAATTATATTGATAACACTAACGTGCTGTTTAGGCGGTTTGTTTAAATATTATACATGATGTACGTTTTTTGGGGGTAGGTTAATGAAAGTGTTCGAAAATGCGACATTAATTTTTTGATGACCCAATACTATCCACTTCCAAATTGCTGGGGTGGTGGACCATGGAGGCATCCTCCTGAATGTGATAGTGATATGAAATACAAATTAGGATAAAACTATTCAGTTGAGAGTAGGGCAGTAGTTTTTCTGCTGGTGTACATTACAAGATGCCCTCCAACTTGATGCTACATCTCTGTGTGAGCTTATCTGAAGGGATGTTGTAGCATTGGAGTGAGCAGTCAAAATTGTAGTTTACACCTTTGATTGGGATCCCTCATCATACCCCTACATGGAAGTTGGTTCCCAGTGGATGTAGTTTGAATTCAGAGCTAAACCAATCAACATAATTCCTCACACATATATTATCCCTGTTGCCACAGATATTCTCTACTGAGCGTGATACAAGGTTTAGTGTCTTACATTCAAAATTTTATTAAACTACTTTTTATTTATGTTATACTAATTAGAATAACATAAAATCTTAGCTAATAATCCATATTTTAATAGTATGTGAGTTTTAAGTTCTTAATTTTATAAGGCAATATTAACAAAAATCCTGAATTTCCCCTAATATGACCCACATGACACATTTTCTCTTATCATGTCATCTTTCCTATTTTATCCACCACCCCTCGAAAAAGTACGAAATTAAATGTAAATTACTCTCTTAGAATGGCCATTGCTCAGACAAACCATGATTTTTATAGTCTTCAAGTTTATTTGGTTACAGAGCTATGGAATAGAAAATCAGATCCCTACTGCCACACCTACTTGTC